GCTAGGTCAAAGAAAATCTAACTGAATGTGCGATCGCTGGAACAGATCGCTTTTCGAATTTTTTACTGCATTTCAAAGTGCTGTCTCAATCACATCGAAATTCAACACAAATTTTTGGACAAACATGGAATCGAAGCAAGTTTTCTGTGCCGTTCGAGTTGTTACTGCAGTACACCACGGGTCCATCACATGCTCTATCAAATCTAGGTGTTCTCCTTAGTACCACATCTTCTGTCTGCGCCGGTTTTTCACTATATTCTCAATCGAAGGTGTCACTTTATCGGCGACAGCAATCCAGGCTGTCACTGCATTCCCAGTCGTGTTTGTTTAAGATAGAAAATGAAATGGATGAGTGCATGCAAATAACCAACTTTATTTTCACCGAATAACATCAATTTGAACTGCTCACGCAATTCTTTACTTGAGATCAAATGCGCTGGACATCGAATCAAATTACCGAGAACCGTCAATACTGATGCCATATCACTTGTGATTCGATAGAGCTGTCGATGATCTCGATGTAAAAAATCTTAAATGAATTATTCAGTTCTGAATTCAGCTCAGTTCAGAAAACCGATCATAGGANATGCAGCTAACCAGGCCGGAGGAATTCACAAAGTGTGATCATCATGTTGAGTAAATTACTGATCAAATAGGCGCTTATAATTACGATAAGAGTGTTTGTTGCCGTTCGAATTGTACGTCGCCTCATTCTCATTATATCTGGTCCCATCGCCAATTCCGTTATAAGTGAGCGAAGTTCCTTCAACATAAATGCTCGAAAAATGTTGCCAGTGGAGAAGAAATTGCAATGAAATCTGATGCTAGATCATAAAGGTATGAACTATTGTGTAAGAAGAAGTATTCTGAGATTGCGTCGTTGAACCATTCGAATATTCGATCATTGTAGATAGCATTCTGCTACTACGCGATGAGCAGCTGATGTCTAAGAAAGCAGCCTATGGGAGAGTCTGTGTTTCGAAATGGATTTCTCTTCGATAAGAAGCATTGCGACTAGGCAAGATAGAAACGGCTCTCAAAAAATTTTTCTTATAATGTCAGTCAATCGAGAGTTATTTCAAAAATGTCCATACCTTTCTTCGGAACATTCAATTTTTTAAAAAAGACAATTCAAGCGGTTTGAATTTTAAAAAAGTTGAAGGTGATTGAAGCAGAGCTGATGTTAAAAGTGGTTGAATTTATATAACTCAATGTAAAATGTATCCCTTATTCACCTTATACTAAATCTTCTCTTATATTTGTAGCAGATAGGAAAATTTTAATCCGAAAGAAGTGCAAAATGCGATTGATGGGAATGGCAAAGCAACACTATCAAAGCAACACTTTTCGTCATTTTGAAAGATATTCGTATGATAGTTTCTTAGATTTTTCATGTTCCATTTCAAGAT